ACGATCAATCACATGGCCAATCTAGAGCTCGCGGTCGTTTTTATCGTAAATGCATGTTTCCCATGTCGCTCGGAACAATGTACACCGACACTAATGACGCGTTAATAATCTGGAAAACGCAAGCGCTGACATAAACGCATCCACGAGCTTTAAAAGGCTATTTTTATCCTACGGAAAGCCGACAAGGCGTGACGCATTACTCACTTCCGATATTAAAACGCCATATAAATCGCTAAATCCTCGTTTTATCGGACGTCCAACTATTTCTTCATTATCTAACAGCTTTTCATTTTTCCTGCCTTAAATATCACGTCATAGACTTGAATGCACCGCGGATGTTAATGAATTAATTAATAGAAATAAATCTAGTTTTTTTTTCGGTCAAGGCAACTCTTAGTGGCCATATAATACTAATAATACTAAATGGAAATTTTTTTGCAAATGTATTAAATGTACATTTCCTCTGGAAAAACTATCTCGTAGTTTACACATCGTTATTTCTTTCGAGATTATTTTCTCGACGGTAAAATAGTTTATACGAGTCGCGTGAGTTTCGATTAGTTCGAAGACCCTTCGATCTGAGAGATGCACCTTTTGAGATAAGTCAAATATAGAAATTCTTTTTTACCTCAAACTTTTCGTTTGCGATAAAAGCGCAAAGTTCCTGGGAGAATCGCGACGCGCGGGAGGACGCAGAACGTCGTAAAACGCGTCCCGACGCCGCTCGCGAGTAGCGGCGACGTTGCCCACGTTGCAGATGCAATTTCAGTGTATTCCACGGACGTAACTGGGGACTATCAAACTATAATACAGTCATTCGGCTGACTAGTAGAGAGTTACGCGGTCGGCAAAGAACCGCGCGTTTTGTGGGCGGCTTTTACGAGACTCTTAAAAGTGGAACTTAAACGCTCGTCCGTTATACCTTTACCGCGACTACAAATGCGGCGCGTAAATTTTCGGTCTGACGTTACGGCGCGGTGCGTTACGACGTTACGACGTTACTCTGACGGTTTGACAAGAGACGTCGCGAGCGAGCGAGCGAGCGAGCGATTAGATCCCGCAAATCGATGTAACCGCCAAACCGCTACTGACCTCGAGCGTGTCTAATAATGTACGAAGGCTACCGTGATATATCGAGTTCGGATTTCTAACGCGAGATCGAGTGGGATTTAGGGAGGATCTTCTCCGTCCGACGTTGCGGCGACGATAAAGGATTTACGAGTGGAATTTCGTTCCCCGCGGTTGTAATGGCTTTCCTGATGAAGATTGAATTCGACCCTCCCGGCGCTTTTCGGATCTCTGAACGCCTCCAGGCTTCTCTTTCCTCTCCTTTTTTTTTTCTTTTTTTTTGCAATCGATAAGATCGTGAAGATTATCGTTTATAGACGCCTCTTTATTTGTGTAGACAAACGAGTGAATTTTTCGGAACTGGCGTGCTAAAGTTAAATGGAGGTTAAAGGGGAACAACGCGAGTGCTCAGAAGCTGAACGGGATGTATAGTCATTCTTTGTTCTGACTGATGACTAGGAAACAGCGCTCGTACGAATTGCTAGCTACTGCCTGGGGAATGCACCGTCCTTATCTTCCAAGGAAGATTAATGTAGCGAGCACGCGAACGCACTCGAGACCCGATCGCATGCATTACTACGCATAGTCATTACATGCTTGTGTAAAGCTGTAATATCTCTCCACGTGACGTGCTCGCGACTAGCCGTGTAATATTTGTTTCGCTGAAAAAGACCATTATTTGATTGCGTTCAGCAGAAAAAATGACTTTGCAACTGTTGTAACACAAAACTAGAAATCACGGAAATGTCAGGGAAATTAAAAAACGGTCAGAGAGAAATCAGGGAATAGTCAGGAAATTTCGCAAAATTTTCTGGACAATTAAAATTCTCGGCTTTAAAGAAATTTCGTACGTCATACCTCTATGTAGTTTTGGAATACTGTCAACGCAACAATTAAATGCAAGCGATATCAACGACATTAATACGAGTAGTAATTGACATTGCTATTTTAAATTGCTTTCTCAACGAAATTTTATAACGATTTTCAAATCAGCAGGAAAAAAATACAACAAATTTCGAAATATTGTTAACAGCCAGGGGAACTCATGAAATTTTGTCTGGAAATCAGGAAAAGTTATGGAGCTTCATGATGAGGAATTTGCAAACAACAATATTGCTGCAAATTCCGTGTTGTATGGGAAGATTCTGCAATTTTTTAACTTACCAATAATTATATCATTAAAATGATAAAAAATTAACTTTTTCATCGCCTCCTTTATTTTTATAATAATTCATTTGCTGTTCCTTCGAACAAGAAACATCGGTATTTCTAATGTTAATAGATTGATTGTGTTTAAATCCAGTGAGGAATTAAGAACGATGATCAATCACAAAGAATCTTACAACAGTTGCAAACCATTTTCCGTTCAACGGAGTCGTTCTTTAACGTTGCTGTGCTTTGTAAATAGCCGCAAATTTTCAGAGAGTCACAGCGAGATATCGAAGCGTTTTTGCGACGCGAGATGCAAACACATCTCGGGCCCTCATAGTTCGCTCCGTCGAGAACGTTTTTCGCGCAACGCTCTCTCGTCGCCTGAGAAGTTGATGCTTCGGGTGCGCCGTAAAAAAAAATTTCATTTCCAAAGTGTATCATCCGACACTATCGCGTGCATTGCTCGTGCAACGCTAAGAGCAGTTTTACAGTTACGGCGGATGCAACACGCGCTTTACGACGGGACGCGGTCGGGGTGAAATCTTCCTTGTGAAAGATCAGTGTTTAAGCGACAGTACGCACTGCACGTTGCACTGCTATTTGTTAATCCTGTGCTGATTGTTAGCCCTATGAATGCCGCATGCCGTCGAGGACGAGAGCACCGATGTACGCGACGTATACACACGTCGAAGTTCAAGTTTCGCATCATCTTCCTGTTCGGAAGTTCCACCCAAAGATTTATCGTCGCGAGAGACGAAAAGGGAAGAACGTAAAAATTCCAGAGTTACGACGAAACAAGTAGGATAGGCCCAATTTAAGTAAATCCGTTCACGGCGAGATTTCCAAAATGCCAGAGTTTCAGCGATCTAAGGATTCTGTTGAGGACCCAAGAAACGCAAGAGTCTTCAAGAAGTTTCAAAAAAAAAAGCTCAGCATCCGCGGAGATACAAAGCTTCAGGAGGGTAGGGAAGAAGATCGGGGATCTTTCACTGTTATTTATAGACAGATTACTTCGCTTCGCTTACTTCGTCGCATGCGATACCGAAGATTTATAAGCGAAGCGGGGCGAAACCTTCTTCGGCGTGTGTGTGTGTGTGTGTGTGTGTGTGCGTGTGCGTGTGCGCGCGTAAAGGTAATATGACTTGGGGAAGCCGCGTTTCCCATGATTCTCACAGATCATGATACGGCCCTCGTGACATTCACATAACGGCATAGCCACGATCTCACGTGACATATTTTATCAGTGCATTCGATCATAAACGCGCGCGCTCTCTCTCTCTCTCTCTCACTCTCACTCTCTCTCTCTCTCTCTTACCATTCATCTCCCCCTTTTTGAATCATCTCATCACGCCTAATCTATCCGCTATATCCGTTGTTATCAGGATGCCCCGCGAGAGATGCCGTATCGGCCGTAGGAGTTATTATCTTCCAAGCGACTTTCAGTCGATTTTTCTTTGGCGAACGCATAATCTCGGACTTAATTCCCGAGCCCTTCGAGAAAATGAAAATGAAAGAGCGCCTCGCGCGGTAAGCGCGCTTGAATTAAATTCCTGCGAAAGAAAAGTCGACGCTAAATTCCTTGAGAAAACAACCTCCCGCCGCTCGTATACGTCTCTCTTAAGGGCACCCGCAATTACAGTTAATGCATAGTCTAACTAAGGAGTTAAATAACAGATCTCGGGATTTTTCGGAGGATCCGGTGCGTCAACGGGATATTCTTGCCGTCCCCGAATCATCGGATTCGCCCTAATAATCCCGAACGATCGACTGGTTTACGAAAATATCGGTCGGATAGTTACAGCCCCCCCCCCCTCCGCCTCTCTTTCCGTGTATCCGGCCGAAAGAGAACGTTAATTTGCGGTCCCGATAGAAATCCTCGGGGGCTCCATAGATCACAATTAGCCTCCCGCGAGTCGGTAGACGATACGAAATTTTCCGCGGCGCGAAATGCGAAGCTCGCGGCGTCGTCGTCTTTGCCATTACTCACGATGATATCGTGAGCGGCGTAGCGATACCGTCGTTTTCATGCGAAATGACGTTTATCGTAATTGCACGTCCGGGCGCATTGAGCGCAGTAAATTTCCGCGGCGCGTCCCCCTATTAATTACCTCCTGATAATCTCGACTTGTAATTTACAATACGCCGGAGGACCCTCCATCGAAAAATCGCGCCGTCGCGTTCACGACGAGCGCGACGGGACAATTCGACCGCGGAATGAATCGTCCGATTAATCGCAGTTGCAAATGACTGATCGCCGTGATCAGTGACTAATTAAACCTGCACGGCTCGCCGCTGTAACGAGCGAAATAATTCGTTTTCTACGGTCGCTCGATCAATTTACAAGCGAGATATTAATTCCCGAATGTCGACGACGGTTAAAAAAGAAAGGAAAAAAAAAAGAAAAAAAAGAAAGAAAGGAAGGAAGGAAGAAAAAAATAACGATAACGCGATCAATCTTCCGTTGACGTGAGGAAGAGCGCGTACCCCTCGAAAAACGGTTTCAACATCGTCCGAAGAAACGAGCGAGGGATCAATTTTTCCTCCGGAAAGGAGTCGCGTGCTCCAAGATAAAAAGAGAGTCTCTCGCGCGCGATTCCTCCCCCCCCCCCCACGCCCCGCTCTCTGTGTATCGTCGAACGATTTTCTTTCAATTTTGTATTTATTTATTTATTTTTTTTTCTTAATCAATTGTGTACATGTGTTTACTACCTTTATATTGACTCAATGATGTTATTCTGTGGTGCTTTGCATGTCTCTATTGGACTCTGCATGTCGTATAGGGCATCGTAAGTACTTACTAAATGAACTCGTCATGAGACCTACGAATACACACGACACATTTTCAGACTCCAATCTCGTCGCCAGCGGAGACGGGCGGATTCGCGAATCCATCGATCTCTGAACGCGCGCGCGGGTTCCTCGGAGCTTCGAATCCACACGAATGCCGAGTGCACCTCGGGATCCCTGGATTCGCGGATCGTTCGATCCCTGGATGTTCGGACTTCTCCAAGCCGGAAGATCCCCGAAACTTCGAATCCTCGGATTTCGGGAAACGCTGGGTCTCTCGGTCCTTGGATTCGGACGATCGGGATCGAGAATCCTTGGGTTCTGATCATTCAGGAATAACCGGAAGGACCGTTTGATCCTTGAATACTTAGATCCTTATACACAAGTAGTAGAATCTACGACTGAATCTACGCCATTTATATGAAAATGCGATCGAGGAATCTCGTTCCGCTCGATCCGTTCTTTATAGAAAGAAAAATTCAATATAATGAAGATGGGAATAAAAATGGATGGGGGAATAAAACAATGGGGAGAAAAAAAGCGACAAAATATAGCTTTTTGCGTTAAATCAAAATAGAGGTACAAATAAATTCGCCAGTAAAAGGTAGCTTGATAATTACAAGTTTTTAAGATCCTAACATTTTTTTCTCTCTAATTATAATTTACTCGATTCACGAAGCTAACGAACGTTCGAAATTTTTTTAAATAATTAAGTATCTGTAAGGAAATCTCAGAATCACCGACAATCTCGAGCTACGTGCTACTCGAGACGGTGCTATTCCGAGATGTATTTTTGCTCCAGAATGAAAAGTTCGCCGACACGTATACAACTTCACGGCTCGATGCTCTGAATACAAAAGAACGGAGTTAGCGAGACGAAAAAAATAGAGGAACGAGCCTTCGCCGATCGATACGATTTCAAGTTACGGAAAAAGAATTCTCTTCCGCCGCACGGGCGAGCCCTGTCACATTCTCGCCCTGTGTTTTTATTAATTTTATTCCTGGCATAGGAAACCTTAGCAGAGAGTAGCCATGTATCGTTATTAAACTTGCCCTTGTCGTTCGTTCGGATAGATAACTCGGCTAACGACCGCCGATCAACTTCTATTACGATTTTGCCC